CGCAGTCAGCTTATTGACATCCCGTTGCACGGAGCCCAATATACATGGTCAAACCATGGTTCCATCCCAACTCTATCCTAGCTAGACCGCTTTCTGCTCAGTCCCGAATGGGATGCTTTACTTCTTGGCTCCTTTGCTTTGGTTCTCCTGAGCCAACCTCGGATCATTGCCCAATTATCCTAGACACCAAGCCGCCACCAGAGTTCCCAAACCATTCAGATTCGAGCTAGCCTGGCTCGAGGAAGCCGAACTCATTCAACGTTTCGTGGAACTCATTCTCCCCTCTGGTCTTCAGGATCCAACTCAATAGAAAGCTCCAACTCAAAGTCTCTACCAAAGAGTGGAGGAAAAGCTCACCTGGCTGTTTTAGATCGTGCAAAGCATCTTCCTTGGAGGCCATACAACATTGGGACCAACTCGAGGAATCGAGGATCCTTTCACAAGCCAAGAGACGTGAGAGGTCAAACCTCAAACTAAAGTATTTCTCCATCCTCAAAAAGGAGGAAATTTACTGGTATCAAGGGTCACACATCAAATGGCTCAAATTCGGTGACCTCAACACTGCCTTCTTCCACAAGATTGCGAACTGTAGACAGAGGGACAATACAATTACCCACATCAAAGCCAAAGACAACATCTCAAAGAACCCTGATGAGGTCCAAAATGCAATCGCCAACTATTTTCAGAATCTTTTCACAGCCCCTCTTGGGCCCAGACCTTCTTTGAGTAATCTTTCATTACTCTTTCTCTCCCCTGAGAAGGCAATCTGGCTGGAACAACCTTTTTCGGAAGAGGAAATCCTCAAGGCCATTCATGAGTTGGGCCAAGATAAAGCCCCTGTGGCCCAGACGGTTTCCCAGCCACCATTTTCAGCACATTTTGGAGTCCTTGCATTTTTCAAAGAGTTCCATGCTAGGGGTATTGTTCATAAAGCCCTTAATGCCACCTTCATAACCCTTATCCCCAAGATAGAAGGGCCTGAGGAACTCAAGGATTTTCAATCAATTAGCCTCCTTAACAGTTCTTAATAAGATTCTGGCCAAATTGGCCAAAATATTGGCCTACCGCTTAAGAGAAGTCCTCGGCCTAGTCATCTCACCCCGACAGGGCTCGTTCGTGAAAGACCGTCAGATTCTCGATGGTGCCCTAGTGGCCCATGAGTGCATTCATTCCAAGCACCTCGCCATGTCCTTGGGTCTCATTGTGAAACTCGACTAGGCTAAAGTCTATGATCACGTGGACTGGGGGATTCTTGATGAAACACTTCTCCGGATGGGTTTTGGACTGAAGTGGAGGACTTGGATAAAGGGATGCATCTCGAGCCCCCATTTTTCAGTGTTAATCTATGGCTCACCTAGGGGTTTCTTCTCCTCCTTCGCCAGGGTGACACTCTCTCCCCCTTCCTATTTGCTATTTTTGTGGAAGTGTGCAATCGATCCATTTCTTGGCTCTATAGCATCGGCCACTGCCATGGCTTTAAGTGCAAGTCCAATGGTCTTTCTATCGCGCACCTTCAATATGCCGAGGACATGTTGGTGAGTGGGCTACATGCGTCAAGACCAACTTGGGAAAGTAAAAACTGATCAGGATAGCCCTTATTCCTAGCATCACCCAAGCCTTGGCCGATAGTTGGGTTTGCTCTACCGAGACCCTCACCTCTTTATAGCTCGGGCTACCCTTGTGCATATGCAAACCGAAGCCCAATGCCTGGGCGCACATTATCGATAAATTTGAGCGTAAGCTCGCATCATGGAAGGGTCGCTTTCTCTCTGCGGCTGGTAGAACAACTCTCATCAAGGCAACCCCTTCATGCATTCCAATCTTTCAAATGTCCCTTTTTAGAATGCCAGCTTCAGTCATCAATAGTGTCTTAACCATCTCTTTGGGAAGGAGACAGTGACAAACGTAGATTTCATCTCTTGTCATGGGAAAAAGTGTGCTCTCGTCATTACCAAGGAGGTCTTGGAATCCATAATCTCAAGCTTGCCAACACTGCACTCTTGGGCAAATGGTGGTGGCGCTATGCCACCCATTCAAACTGCCTTTTGGCAGCTGGTCTTCCAGCTTAAGTATCTGTCACTTTCTTCTTGGCTGCCTCCAACCAGGGGACCTACATCAGGGCTTTGGTATATGGTCCACGTTTCAAAGCATCGTCAAGATTTTCATTCTGAATACTCGCGTGCTAGATCATGAAGGTCTGCAAACTAAATTCTTGTGCGACATGTGGCTGGGTTCCTCTCCCCTGATGAATCTCGTCCCATCCTTATTTTGGCTTACCCTCCACAGGCAGCTGCTTTCGTGGCTGAGGTTTTTCAAATCCTTGGACAAAGGCGAGTGTGGCCTTCAACCTTCAGGGGGCCTCCCTCGGATTCCGAAATTCAGGAATTCCTCGACCTTTCAGCTCTCCTAGACTCTGACTTTCATGCCCAGTCGGGGTCGTGATAGGCTCATATGGTGGTGCCCTTCTCTCTTCGGGGTTCTTCTCGGCTGCCTTTGTCTATCTCAAGCTCACTCAACCTCCCACCTTCCCCTTAAATCTTCAGCCATGGCATGGTTTCCCCTAGTGCCCCAAACTTTCAGTTTTTTAACTGGTTGGCCCTTCACCAAAGAGCACTCACAGTCGATCATGTTCAGAGAAGAGGCCTCCCTATGCCTAACCGGTGTACGATGTGTTTTGAGGCGGAGAAACCAATGCCCACCTCTTCATTCATTGCCCCCTAGCCGCGTCTCTTTGGGGTTGTCTGCACAACCTCTTCAACTGGCAGTGGGTGACACCCCAATCTATCCCTCTCCCTTTCACCCCTCTTCAACTCTATCCCTGGCCGAAGGGCTGGCATTCTCCTCCGGAAAGCCTCCATATTTGCACTGCTTTGGACTGTATGGATCTAGCGCAACAACCGGATGTTCCAAGGCCAAATCAAGCCCACCGATGTGCTTTTTGACAATATCAAGTCCCTGGTCTCCTTTTGGGTAGGCAACCACAAAAACTTCAAAGGGATTCATTTGTCGGCCTGCGAACGCATTTGGCAGCCTATTTTTCACCTCTCGCAACCTAGGGTCTCGTGATCCTCTTGCTGAACACCTCCTAGCACGGGGACGATAAAGCTCAATTTCGATGGGTGCTCTTTAGGACCGTCAGGCATTGGCGGTCTCTTTCGAAATAATGAGGGCCAGATCTTGGGGTTCCTTCTCCAAATCCATCGGCCATTGCGATGCTTAATCGGTTGAAGCGCTCGCCCTCCTTGAAGGCATTTGACAATTTACTCTATATTGGTCACTACCTCTTCTACCCGACGGAGACTCATTCAATGTCATTCGTTGGGCCTCATCCACTGCTACATACCTGTGGACCCTTGTGCATATTTTCGAAGAAATTGTCCACCTCTGCTTAGGAATCTCAAATCTCTTATAATCATGTGTGGCGCAAGAGTCCTTTGGTTCCGCGGGTGATGCCTTTCCTTCCATCAGTGCTGCTTCCTCTAATGCCTGAAGAGAGTAGTTCCCTTGCAGATTCGTTGGCCAAAGAGGGACCCTTGATCCCCTTGACGGAGTAGTATGGGGTAGTCTAAGGCTTTCTTATGTTCTTTTGCTTGGGTTCTGGCCAAGGGACCGTTTCCTGATTGTATAATCTCCCTTCTCAGGGAACACCTCTTGTAACATCTGTAATTCTTAGTAATACAATGCTAACATTCTCAAAAAAAGGATAATAATTAAAAAAGAAAAAAAAACAGGAGAGCTGGTTTGTGTGCGCATCTGCTTCCCCACATGTGGATGCATACATTGGTTCCTTGGTGTGCAAAGGGATTGACTAGCAATGCTGCCGGGGAGGTGATGAGCTTCTATTTACCCTTGTTATTTTGGTCTCTAGGGAGATTTGTTGACTCAGCCATTTCTGTTGTGTATTTGATCAAGGATCTATGTGAATCATTTCCTTTGGCCACTTGCTATTGAATGCGTCCTGCTCATTGTTCTCAAGATATATGATTTAACTAGAGGGTTATATGTAATGGTTTGGTACTTACTTTATTTGTGGAAATTTTCAATAGCCATATTTAATAGCTTGGCTATTAATCCAAGTTTGATGCATTGGATATAGGTCAGAAGTTAATCAAATGGCAAAGAAGCTTGCCAATGCTGTTTATTTGTGGACCACTTTTAGTGTACCAACATTCACCTCACTGTTTTTTTTTTTTTCCGACCTTTCTCAATATTTAGTTGTAAAGTAAATGCAGGAGATATATGAGTTCCATTTTGTAACTTCATTGTTTTCTTTTCATTTGGCCTCCCTGCTTGCTTTGTTTTTCTTACTACTATTTTTATGAACAGAAAGATTTGAAACAGTATGCTTCTCTACCTCTTGTTAAACTTTTTCTACTTTTTGCAGTAGGATTGAGCAGTGGAATAAGTTCTACTAAAATTTTGATCCCTAGGTTTAGCAGCTATGAGTTTGTCACCTCGATCTCCATACTCTTTTACTATTGTTGGTATTTGCCCCTTCTTCTCCTCTAATACACACAGGCTATTTCCAAGAGCTCGAGCTTTCCTCTGATTTATTGTTTAATTGTTCATCATATGAAAGCTTCGATCTAGCAGGCAATTCTGATACTGCAGATTGCGCAAGGATTATGAGGCCACGGGATCTTATAACCTTGATTGAGTGTTCCTCAAGTATTTAATTTCATTTACATTATGACTATTTTTTTTTCCAATAGCATTAATGAACTCAAGATTGTGGATCAGGGAAAGTGTTTTTACACATTCTGCTTGGATAAACTTCTAGGCTATATAGCCAGAGTACATATATCTGTTCTTCGGCCTAGGTGGGATTTTTATTGCTTTTTGTTTATCTTTAGTAATAATGATAGCTTGTGGGGGATAACAGCTATTTCTTCTTCTTTTCTTTTTTTTTTGAGCAAGACTCTTTTTTGTTTTGACGAAGTTTGAGTGAGTCCTTTTGAACTCACATTTGTTTCTATGGTTGGATATATTGGATTTTGTAGGAAGAAGCTGTTCAACATGATGAATGATCTCCCCACCATCTTCGAGGTTGTTACAGGGGCTGCCAAGAAGCAAGCTAGAGAGAAGTCATCAAACACTAACAACAGTGGCAGCAAGAGCAAGTCCAGCGTGAAGGGGGTGAAACTCTCAACTCTTATTAATATTTGAATTCCTTTTTCTTTCTATGTGTTTCTCCCTCATGTGCATGAAGCTGGTTGGTGATCCCCATTTCTTCTTTTGATTTTTTGTTTTTTAATGGCATGGGCCCTATTAAAGGATACGTGCCCCATCATACAAATCTCATTATCCATGCGACTTGAGAGGAAAAAATTAAAAAATAATTCCAAGACTTCCAGTTTTAACACTTTTTGGTATTTATGCAGACAATGCAATTGTCACTGATTTGTTATATGAATCGTGCTAAATTTCACATTGGACAGTGTTACTCTCTCATGCTCTCTTCTCTCTCAAACTTTCAGCAACCCCGGCCATCTGAATCTCAAACAAAGGTCTTGAAGGCGGCGCCCCCAAGGGATGAAGAGGAAAGTGGAGATGAGGAGGAAGAAGAGGATGAGCATGGCGACACACTGTGCGGGGCTTGCGGAGAGAACTACGCATCAGATGAGTTTTGGATATGCTGTGATGTTTGTGAGAAGTGGTTCCATGGCAAGTGCGTCAAGATAACCCCTGCACGGGCAGAACACATCAAGCAGTACAAGTGCCCCAATTGCAGCAACAAGAGGGCTCGAGCCTAAGTAGAAAATGGGGGTAGCGTAAGGAGGAGAGGTGTGGAAAACCAATTCAAAACCTCTTGTTTTTGGAAAGGCAATCAGGCTATCTATGAACAAATGGTGATCAGTTGGTTTGAGCTAGGACTTCTAATTTTGAGACTTATGGTTGATCCACATTCATCTAAATTGTTGGTTTTTTCTTCTTTTTTTTGGTTCTTTTTGTTTCCTTAGTTTTCGCCTTTTGTTATTAACAATGGAAATTGGCAGGTTTGCCTACCCCTTTTCCATGGTTTATGGTTTTCTTTTTTAGCAGTTCAGTTTATACTGGTTCCCTTAGCTTTAACTGGAGAAATACCCTTTAACTGTGGTCCCAAAATATTTGCACGAAATCATGAAAGTACATGGTGATCGAAAGACCATGATAGACAGTCTGTAGGGGCATCACTTCCCGATGAAACGATGGAAGGTTAGACCCTGGAGAGGGAGCTATAAAGCATACTTCCTACTTGTCTCTCTCTTTTTCTATCATCTATTTCAGTTGTGATCTACTATGGATTATGCTTCATTTAGGGACAGCACCCATTCACATTGTTGTCATTTATCAGGTGCTGATGATCTCCGAAGGAATTTTGAAGATGCCTTTCACCGAAACATTCCCTCTTGCAAAGATTAGAGAAAAAGAGATTGTTTGATTCTGCAGGGGAACATGTACTTTCACTTTCTTGGCTGAACCCTATCTGGGAGGAGTTTTAGGATCTTAAATTTTAGGGATGTAATCTCCTCAACAAGACACCAACTTCACACTAAACAACGGAAAAAAAAAAACTAGTCACCAATTCATACCAAAAAAGGAAAAAAAAAGAGGCCCCATGCCATAACATGCTTAGATAGCTAGAAGAGGTGGTACACACTGATGGCTGGATTTTCAACATAGAACATTGAATTTTTGGACTGTCGGATTGAAGTGTAGTCGAATTCACCAGTACTTTCTTCTCTTTTTTGAAGATACCTTCCCCTCTTTAAAATACTTTCTGGTTATTATAAAGTGGATACCAAAATTTCAGGTCCAAAAAACATTCACCAAATCATTAAAAAATATGCCATGTGGACTCGCAGAACTTCTCAAAGGAACAAATTCATTGCTCTCTGAGTGAGAGAGAGACTTGATTAAAAAAAATGCGTTTGAATAAAAATAAAGCAAAACGAAAAAATTATTTGAAGGTGAAAGTTGCAAAATTACAAGAAAGAGGAGAGCTACTACACTCGGATGAATTCCCATGTCTTTATATCTAAATAACAGATATATTAAACAGTCCATCTAACCTTTTTTTTTTTTTGTATCGCCAATGATCCTTGCAGTAGAGGCGTTGCATTATTAGATCACCAATAATCCTTACAAGAGCAATGACCATCCTTGAACAGATGGAACCTATTATTGTCCCTCACAAGGATTTCCCTTCCAACCACCTTGGACATCAATTTGATAGCACCATGGCAATCTCCACACACTCTAAGGTTCTTCATAACTCTTATGGGCACCCCTGCCTCCAAAGCAATCAATCCAAAAGCAATGGCCAACTTCTCACTGTGAGTCCCCACCAATTCTTCCTTCTCTTCTTCCTCAACATCTCTTAAGACAGAACTCTTATCAGGCACATAACCCCTCCTCCTCAATTCCATCATAAGCTCCTCCAGAACCTTGTAAATCTCCTTCAACTCCGGGTGCGAGCAATCACCGGCGATGAACTGGTGAATTTTGCCCCTGAATTCGACCCAACTACATGCCTGAGTCTTCCTTATTCCTTTCGCTCTCATCATAGTCCTCACTCTCTCTACATCCTCCCATCTCCTTGCCGCTGCATACATGTTAGAGAGAAGTACATAATTGCCAGGATTATCAGGCTCTAACCTGAAAAGCTCAGCTGCCACCTTCTCTCCAATCTCTATGTCTCTATGCATTCGACAAGCATTTAAAAGTGCTCCATAAACTCCAGCATGAGCGTTCACAGGCATCTTCTTGATGAGGGTTTCGGCGTCTCGAAGCCGCCCTACTCGCCCAAGAAGATCTACCATGCATGCATAATGATCCACCGATGGTTCACCTATCGACTGGAACAAAGAGCATCCTTCTTGTACTAAACCAGCATGGCTACAAGCAGTGAGCACTCCAATATAAGTGACGCTGTCAGGTTCGATTCCTCTCTCGTTCATCACATGAAACAGCTCAAGCGCCTCTGTCCCATGGCCATGTTGGGCAAACCCTGCAATGAGCGCGTTGTAAGAGACCACATCTCTCTCAGGCATTTCGTCGAAAAAGACTCTACAAGCCTCTTCCATGCTCCCACACTTTGAGTACATATGTATCATGGAATTGTATCCTTTGAGGCTCAATCTTATCTTACTGGTACCAATTGTTTCTCTTACCCAATTCGCTAGATCCAGTGCTCCCAAATGACCACAAGCCGAAATAACACTCACCATCGTCACTTCATCTGGTCCAACTCTGGCCCGTTCTACCATCTCTTTAAACAATTCGATGGCCAGGGACCATAGTCCATTTTGCGCATACCCTGCAATCATCGAATTCCATGATACCACAGTCCTATTGGGCATCTTGTCAAAGAGCTCACGGGCAGAACACAAATTTCCATTTCTCGAATACCCTGAAATCATGGCATTCCAGGAGAAGGAATTCTTATGAGTCATGGCATCAAAGAGCTCTCTCGCTTTCTCCAGGCTACCACACTTGCAGTACATGTCAACCATGGCTGTCTTCACAAAGCAATTAGGCTTCACCCCACATTGATCAACGAACCCAATGATCCATTCAGCAAGCTCGGGGTCACCATGCTTCGAGCATGCAGATACCACGGTGGCCAAGGTGGTCTCATTAGGTGGAACCTCTCTCCTCATAACCATATCTCGAAAGAGCTCTATTGCTTCATTGACAAATCCTTTTTGCGCATAACCAGAGAGCATTGCATTCCATGAAACTACTGTACGATTTGGCATCTTATCAAAGAAGCGGTCTCGAGCCAAGCTCAATTGACCACATTTTGCATAGGCTGAAAGCATGGCTGTCCAGGAAACCGCTGTGCGTTCAGGCATGGAATCGAACAACTTTTGGGCATTTTTGAGGTCTTGGACTCGAGCATATGCGGAGATCATGGAATTCCAGTCAGGTGGGGTTCTTTGGTGCATTTCATCGAACACTTGGCGTGCGCAGCCTAGAAAGAGAAGGTTAGAATACAAGTTGAGGATGGAGTTCTGGATATTGGGCTTGGCAAAGAGGCCAAGGCGGAGGGCTAGCGCGTGGAGAGAGGCACCGAGAATAGGCAAGAAGAGGAGAGAGGCGGATTTGAGGAGAGGGGGAAGAAGGAAGGGATAGACAGAGAGAGGGTGGGAACGGGGTGGGCAGAGAGAGAATGAGAGGAGGTGGGCGTAGAGAGAGAAAGTGTAGGTAGGGTGGGGGAGTTGAGCGGAGGAAGAGAGAAGATGGGGGAGCCATGAAGTGGTGGGGTCGTGAGGAGAATAGCGAAGGAGATGGGCGTGGGTTTGCTTGAGTGATGAGAGAGAAAGTGGTGGGTTGAGGAGGAGAGAGAGAGAGGTCGGTGGCTTTGATTGGATAAAGGGAGGGGGCATTCTTGAAGAGACATTATCGTGTTGCTTCTTCTTCTGCACCGCGTTTGAGGAATGGCTCTTGAGTTTGAAGAGGGAATGTTACCATATGCTAGAGAGAGAATGTGATATATATTTATATATATATATATATAGAAAGAGGAAGTGAGAGAGAGTGAGGCTCTTTCAAAGACAGACTTCTTTTGTTTTTTTCGTTCTTTTTTTTTGCTCGCTCTCAGGAAAAAACAAATTTTGTCCCGAAAAGTTACTGGTTTTGCTCTCTCTCTCTCTCTCCCTCAGGGCCGAGAAATTACCTGTTTTGCTCTCTCTGTCTCTCTCCTTCTCTCTCTCGAAGGGATGTGAAACTCTGACACATAGGATATTGCCATTTGAAGAACGAGAAAACCTGCAGTCCTCTGTGTGAGAAACCTTCATTACCATCTTTCCGCACTCTAACAGCGAGGAAAAAGCCCTTCTTTCTTTCTTAGTGAAAGAGAGAGAAAAACCTCCCCTTCAGCTCTGCTTTTCTTTAACCAAGCTGCTCACCTCTCTCTCTCTCTCTCTCATCTAAAAAATGGCCCATTGCCTCCATTTCCAGCAACTAGGCCTCAAAATCCTCTTTTCCTCCTCCAAATCTTTAAATCCTTCACCAATTCCAATTAGAAGACGAGCTCTTCAGTTCCTCCTCAGTAATACTGGCTGCGGTAATTTGAGGGCCTTTTCTTCTTCTTTAAATAATAAATACATACAGTTAACAGATCATGAGCTCATGGCTCAATGTGAGATGGACACTTTCAAGGCCTCTGGTCCAGGAGGCCAGCATCGCAACAAGCGAGAGAGCGCAGTAAGGATCAAGCACCTACCCACTGGAATCATTGCACAGGTAATACACTTTCCTCAGTTACACAACTCTCGCTCACTACTAATCTTTGATATAGAATTTGTTGGGTGTTCGCTTTGTCAAGAATTGGGGTGCCTTTCTTTTGATTCCCTCCAAATTCTCTCTTTCTAGTTGAGCAGATCTTTTTGTAATAAATAAGAAATCGATGGATTTTTTACTTTTTCGAGAATTTGGGTGCCTTTCTTTCTATTCCCTGCAAATTCTCTCTTTCTAGTTGAACAGCACGTTTGATGAGAAGTTAATGCATTTGGATTTGGTATGTGCATGGCCGTGCTTGAAATGTAGAATTCAATGGCAAGATTCAACTATGAATGTTGAATGGAATGAAATTTAGAAGCCATGGAATGGCATTTGCTTCTAAAAATCTGTAAAAACCTTATTTTGGTTGCTTGAGCTTGAATCTATGCACAAAGGCAAACAAGTCCATTCCAGTTTGAGAAATATGCAAGTTTTCTAGTTAGATAAATAATAAATGTTTCTAGTTAGATGAATAATAATATTATTCAGTTGGAGATGGTACTTGGTTCATGCTCTCATAATGTAGAATCCCATGCTGATTGCTTTTTCTATCTGCTTGACATATTGAATTTGAATGACATTTAGGAATTGACAGAAGGGATAGGTGGTTAGGGCGGATGGTGCCACAAGATAACATCTTGAGTTATATTCCTATCACGAGTAGGGGATCTTCACTCCACTGAACTACCAAAAGAAAAGAACATGAAATACATTTGTTTTTTATGAATAGGGACCCTTCTTTGCACTTTTTCAAAGTTTCTATTATTATTATTTTTTTTCATCAAAGAAAATATTTATTACTAAAATAAAATTACAAAAAAACAAAAACAAAAACAACGATCAGAGACGTAAAGACAACATCTCAAGATTCCAACACTGAAACTGCACCAACGTTCAGTGATTCTTGAAGCACCTCTTCATTGGCAAGGGTATTAGCCTCCTACATAGCTCCCCCAAGAATATGCACAAAGGTCACATTCTTAGTGTCGCAAATGTCGAAGATCTCACCAAATACCATTGCCAACCTTTATGGAATAGACGGTGCCTTGGGAGCCTATCTTATGACACTGAAACAATCCCCTTCTACTGCTAATAAACTCCTTAACTGGACAGAACATATCCCTAGACCTGTAAGCAATGCACAAAGCCTTCACTAATGTAGAATCACATATTCCCAGTTGGCCTAAATGGCTTCTAAGCTTCCCACCTTCTTCACCTCTAAAAGTTTCATCATACCTGTCAGTCCCGGATTACCTGGTGAACGTCCATTAGAAGTTACCCTCATAGTGCTCTTCATCGGTGCAATTCAAACTGTCCTAAGTTGAAGGGTTGACCTAATAAGCAGAAAATCTTACTGTCCTTGACTAAGTCAATGGGCTTGAAACCTTGAAATTCTAGTCGAAGCAAAGCCCATGAGATCAACTATTCCTAGTCCTGTGGACCAACTAGTGCACCCTTTGATCCCCAAAAGTCTGAGAGTTCCGCTCTTTTAAAATGCACCTTATAATAGCCATAATGCTCAACTGCCATAGACTCTCCCCCTAGGTGGGATTGCCATAGAGATGCACCTCATCATAAGGTCATACACAGAAGCTGGGTTCACCCATTTCCTGCCAAGGAGGTTAAAAACATAGGCCCATATGGTAATAGCATACCTCCAATGGATAAGGTGGCTTGCCATTTCCTTCTCAGCTTGGCACAGATGTGCATCCCGCCTTTGAAGGCAGCCAATCATCAATATGCTCTTCCAACATATGAACCATCCAAAGGCTGAAACCAGGAGTGGAGCATGGACTCTCTAACCAACCTTTAGACGGGGTATGTGGCCAACAACTGATAGAATCCTATAAAAAGATCAGTAGTAGAGCATCCTCGACCATACCCACTCCGCACCTGTCTATCCACCCCTTGCATCAGCACATAAACATCTTCCAACTCATACAAGAATCCCTATGAAAATTTGGTCACCATCTCACCATCTTCAAAGTTCTAGTTCTGATTGTATAGTTTACCAATAGTAGTAAGGTCTGTGGTTCATTTAGTTGTTGCCAACCATGGTAGTAGTTGCGGAACTACTGGGTCGGGAGAGGACAACCAGTTGTTCCTGCTCCTCTTTCTTCACTTGGTTCATTTTTGGGTTTTAGAACTTGATTGGGGATCCTTGATGGTGCTGTTCTAAATATACACTGTTCTGCTCACTTGCTTCTAAGAATGTGTGGTACATTTCTTTTGTTCTTTATGAGTTCTTGTTGTATGAGATATGGTCATGCCCTAGAATGTGTGCAGGTAATGTCCTAGATGTTCTATTTTTGTGGGATATATCTATAGGTACGATTTGATGATGATTCCTTTAATCTCAATTTTTTTTTTTTCCCTTCATACTTTAGTCTCAATGTTCTGAATGTGGAATTGGTAAGTCCGCCCTTGCTTTCCTTATCTGCAAGTTCTGGTTCTAGTAAACACTTCAATGGATTGTTCAATGAAAATGATTTTCATGTCAGGAAGGAATAGAGGGACTACAAGCACAAGAATTACAATGCATCTAATTGGGTTGTTCAATGAAAGATTTTAATTTCAGGAAGGAAAAAGGGATTATGAGAACTAGAATCAAGAAACGTGAAATACGAACATCAGTAAACATACAAATCAACTAAATACCTTGAGATATTAAAAGCAAAGTTGTGTTTGCATTGGAGGCCAGCACAGCCGATGTTATAAAATTCTGGGTTAACACTGCAATATTGGTCTCATGCTAATAATCTGGGACCACAACTTAATGAAGCATATGTATACATTATGCTCAATGAGTGCACATAGAGAAAGATCTACATGAGTAGGACTCACCTAGTGCTCAATAACGGAAGACCTTCAATGGGGACTACTAAAATGCCTTTGATCTATTCCCTGCCATTGAGATCTTCCCTTGTAATTAAGCATACTAATTGATGCTTTTGATGTTTTTCCATCCGTGGTAACTTGATTGATGAAACCTATAATTAGAAAAAAAAAAAACTCATTGTGGGTAAAACTTGTCATTAAAGATATATCCATGGCATTATATGTATCTCACCTTAAAGGAAGATATGTTTTTTTCACTACAGGCTGTTGAGGATCGTTCACAGCATAAAAACCGGGTATCAGCCTTAGCTCGTTTACGCACTCTGTTGGCTCTTAAAGGTTCACTTTCATGACATGCATTTGGATTTTCTGTTGCAGTAACTAATAAGCTGTAATTTGTATTTGTTCTGCTTGCATCGACAGAAAATACCTTGTTTCTTAAGTTAGTTGGTTGCACATCATGATTTTACTATCTGTACAGGTTTTTTCTTCGTCTTGCCTCCGTAATATTATGGATCAGTGATGCATGAGATTGAGTGTTTGAGACTATGGTTTCCATTTTATGGAAGTATGGTATTGAGGTCAAAGAGTACTTGAACTTGAACCTACCACACGAGATGAAACTTAGAAAGACTTGCCATTCTGAAAGCTTGAAATCGAGAGCGACAGAGAGAAGTCTCAATGCTTGCATCCCTCCTCTATCATGAGGGGAACAGAAATGGAAAGGCAGATAGTTACCGGGAACAGGAGCGAGGGGAGCTCTAGGATCAGAAGAGGGAATGCAGAAGCGAGGGAAGTTCGAAGATCCATGGTTGAGAGAATGAGTTCCGCACATCATGAGGCAAAGGGACCAAGATCCCTAACAGTAAGGGAGTGTTCCACAACTTCCCAAGAGCAACTGCTAAACTGAATAGGATTGCGGGCCATCGAGCATCGGGTTGAGGTTCCCAAAGATCAGTTATCGATGTTATTCTAGTTCAGAAGCAGATTCTATTGAACAATTATTTAAGAAAGTTTCACTCCAAAAAGCTATTCATGTGGGTCCATTACAAAAATTGTACCCTCGACTATCGATTGATGATTGTATAGAGAGAGATTATTTTCGAAAAGAAATGCTACGAAATAAGTTTTCCTTTGAAAAGGAAAGACAAAGAAAAAGGAGGAATGACATTACCATAGATAATGCTCAATAGCTCTAGTGGCTCAAGAACATATAGAAGAGAGAGACTTCACATTCCAAGCATATATGTTATTTCATCATCCATAAGGCAACCCCATGAGTGACTCAATTTGGATGACTAACACTCAAGCGATAGAAGTCCTTCAAGAGGTAGACAGGACCCAATGAATCAGCCCCATTGAAATTAAGCCTACTGATCGTGATCGCATTCCTTGATTAGTACCACAACTCAAATATCTTTTCTACCTCCTTCCATTAATTCCCTCTCTTTCTGCCATCTCTTGTAATGCAGGAAGGAAAGGTGGAAATTATATCCACCTTTTCCTCAAATCACAAACAAGCAAATCAGCAATAAGGGTAAACATGGCTGTAAATCAATCCAGGAGAAGAAGAAGTCCCATCTTCTTTTTATAAAATAAATTTCACTCAAAATAACATGAGCTTTAAATTTCACTCAAAAATAACATAAGCTTCCTAAAATTTGACATCCAACCTTTTATAAGCCTATGAAACCCTACAATTAACCTGAGATCCAAGTAACGTTTTAAACTCTAAAATAGCTCTAAATAATACTAAAATTCCAGAAATACCCCTGAAACAATAACACATGAACAGTACCTATGAATAGTACCCCATAAATATTAACCAAGGAATAATAAATATAAATATAAAAAAATCCTAGTATCCCTAAAAAACTGAAAAACCTAAAAAATAAGTCCTAAAACTAAGATTAAAATATACATCTTTTGACATTGAATAGAAATTAAAAATAACAACAATTTTGTCATGCATATATTGTCTTTCTTTGAAACTAGTCACAAGTGGTGATTCACAAGGTGTGTAAAGTTGTAAACCGTAAAATATGTAAGAAATCAAGGCCCTTCAAAAGTTTGTATATGAAACTAAAAAAGGTACTGGTAAAACTCACCTCCAGAGTAGAATATACTTGATGCCATGTTGTGGAATCATGGTTCCAGTTACTCATGGAACCCTGATTGGCATAGGGATATGGATCCCATTAACTTAGGATTTGGTTCTTCAATTTCCCGGATCGATATCTCTGAATCAAGAAAATGCTGGAATTAAGATCTCGCGTTTCGGAGCGCGGGATCGAGCTTCCGAGCAACCCCCTCCTTAGAAGATCTTGGTAAATATTAAACTATCAGAAAAACCCTTGAATGAGATAGAAAAAACCAAAGAGCAAGGAGCTAGAAGAGAGAAAATCCAATGGAGAGGAGGAAAACCTGAGAGGATAGAGAAAATCCACGAGTATGAAAAGAAAGAGGAAAATTGACCTGAAGTTGGCCGGAATCTTGTTGAAGAAGAGTTTGAGAGTAGAGCAAGAGAGCGAGATTGGGAAAAAAATTACTATAAATCTCTCTCTCTCTCTCTTAATTTCTATACAAAACTTAACCCTTAAGCTTTGATTTTACTATTTTACCCTGACGTATTTTTAATATGACAAAAAAACCACCTTTTTCTTATTATCATCATCATCATTATTTTATCATTTTCCCAAATAATTGGGGTCGGCTACATGAATCCTAATTCTCCATTCTGTTCTATTAAATGTCATATCTTCAGTGAGGCTATAAGTCCCCATATCTCTTCGGACTACTTCCAACCACGTCCTTTTGGGCCTACCCCTTGCCGTTTTCAGTCCGTCCACTTGAACTAATTCGCACTTCTTGATAGGTGTTCTTCTTGTCTTGCTGTTCATCCATCTCAACATCCTCATTTCTGATACACTCACTCTATGGGTATAATGTTTTTCGTCCGGCTCATAGAGCAAAGTTGGTCTTACTGCTATCCTATAGAATTTGCCCTTCAGCTTCGTTGGTATATGGCGACCACATAAAATTCCAGTTGCACATCTCCACTTCGCCCATCCAGCTCTAATTTTGTGTGTCATTTTTCTTGGTCTCTCTATTTTCCTAGATTATCGACCCAAAATATCGAAAGTGCGATCTTTTTTGTACTACCTGGACGTCAATCTTAACTACTTCCTCGTCTCTACTCCTATTATTACTAAACTTGCACTCCATATACTCTATCTTAGTCCGATTAATTTTAAAACCTTTGGATTCTAGTGCATCCCTCCAAAGTTCTAACTTTGAGTTGATGTCATTTCGTGTCTCATCAATCAAAATTATGTCATCTGCGAACAACATGCACCACGGTACCTTATCCTGTAGGTACTTAGTTAAGTCTTCCATAATTAAGACAAAGAAATACGAGCTCAATGTTGATCCTTGATGTAGGCCTATTGTTATTGAAAACTCACTCGTCTCTCCACTAGTTGTTCGTACACTAGTTACCGCTCTATCGTACATAGCTCTCAACAAGTCGATGTTGTATCTAAAGATGCCTTTCTTTTCTAACACCCGCGAAATCAAATCTCGAGGGACACTATCATAAGCTTTGTCTAGATCAATAAATACTATGTGGAGGTCTTTTCTCTTCGTCCTAAACTTCTCAATCAGTTGTTTAAATAGAAAAATAGCCTCAGTTGTTGACCTTCTTGGCATAAAACCAAATTGGTTTTTAGATACACTCATTTCATGCCTTAATCGTTGCTCAATGACTCTCTCCCAGAGCTTCATAGTATGGCTCATAAGCTTGATCTCTCGATAGTTTGCACAATTCTATATGTCTCCTTTGTTCTTGTAAATAGGTACCACAATACTTTTCCTCCATTCATCAGGCATTTTCATTGTTCTCAACATCTTGTTGAACAGTTTCGTCAGCCAATTAATGCCAATTTTCCCCACGCACTTTCAAACCTCTATCGGGATACCACCTTTTTCTTCTTATGAAAACAAAAAAGATGGGGTAAAAAACATATTTTCTACCCTCAGTATGAACCGGCAGTGCAACTATGAATTGGTAAACCAGCCGGTCTAGTTATTGGACTAGCCGATTCTCCTGTTCATTGCTGGTTCAGACACTTCCCCGGCTCGTTGGCTGAACCGGACCGGAAAGTGACTGGTTCACCGGTCGAACTGGCCAGTCCGGTCCAGTTCTAATATCATTGTACTAAAGGAGTTGGGCAGGGAAGGCTGCGAAAACTTATTTGCAAGTTGGGTGCTAATGACATTCTGACAACAACTTGAGGGGGAGTGTAGACAGATGTAATCCACTAGGGCACATTGTCTTTTATGTATACTTTTGTACCTTACTTATGTTGTATTTATCAGCACTCCATATAAGGATTTAAGTGTGCAATGTAATGTAAATGCTACAAATATAATGTATATGAAATGGTGTTCGGATGGAAGTTGTTCATTACTTTCCTTTTATTTTCTTGTCTTGTTTCTCTCCGTGCATGGGCTGGCACCACTTCAACCATTTCTTATCAAATAATCTAGTAAAACAGTTCTGTTAATAGTCTACTATTTTCTTTACTCTTAGTGGGTTGAGACTGTATCAAATGATTTATAGTTGAATATCTGCATAAGTGTTACATATCCAGCTTAATTTAAGTTCTTATCTTATTGTAAGAACAGTAAGTAATGTCAAGAAGATCATGATATCTAATTGTGGTTCTGTTCCTTTTCAAAGAACAATGAGTAATGTTGAGATGATCCATCTTACGACATAATTTCAAATGATAAAAGAAAGATTTGGCGGGATTGTTGAGATGAATCGCCAATGTGACGTGATTTCTATGCAGTCACTTGAGGCACCTCATGCATCTTTCTTCTTAATATTGCAGCCTTTTGCCATTTCTTATATGCGTGTGTGACTGAGGGAGAAATCAACAAACATGACAAGCCCATGTATATTAAGTGTTGTGACATTTCCTTTGGGAGAGAGGGCAACACATTTTTATATGTTTTTCCTGTTAATGAAACACTTTAAGGTATGTTAGATACGTCATCTATTCCTCACAGTCATTCTGAAAAAGAGAAACTTTTTTTTGGCTATTTAGCGGGGGGGGGGGGGGTTTACAGGACTGTACCATTGTATTAATTTATGTGAAAACTTTACAGTTGAGAACTTGAAGGTAATATTTACAGTGGACCTCGCTTAATATTCTTGGTTCTCACTCTATATAGATAGTGATCACATTACATTTACTCTTATCTCACTAAGGTCAATTGGGAATTTGTATTTCCCATTCATATATGCTTTTCTCTTGCATTCTTTTGGAGAGATTATATTTTCTACCTGGATGCTATTTTGAATTTTCCATGCGACCTCACTCAGTACTCCTGGAATGGTGTGATGACGATCTTTTACCTGCTGATCTCTTGCTTGCCAAATGACCTATATTCTAGAGTTCCATATGGTGCTCCTCCAAAGATATCCTCTTCCCATTAATCGTGTCTGTATGGAATGGCTTTCCTAGCTAATTCCCATCCGGTTTAGCTAGTAAGGACTCTTATGTCTATCATATCAATTAGCGGCATGTTTTGAACTTAATGAGCCAGTGTGCTTTACAGATTTTAGATGCTGTAGGAATTTCAATTGCCATAAAGTAATTTATTTTCTGATTTTGTTTTGGGAAACATTTATCTAGAGCTGAGGCTCTAAACAATCAAATTAGAGCCTACATCAAAAATTTCACTAGAAGAGGTTGTTTTGATGTCCAAATATCCTCAAATTGATCATCTCGACATCAAGATGCATGGACACGAAAAAAAAATGGATTTCAAGTTTTGGAAATAGTGTATTTTGTAACGTATTTTTGGACCGTCAATTTTGAAGATTTTCAGGTTTTTATAGATCTGTCGATCTACACTATTTTTTAAGCTTTAAAGTTTTTAAATAAAGATGAAAATATATTTTTAGGCCATCACAAAGATTTTCAGCATTGAGACCACATTTCTCAACACTATTTGAAGGTAGGCTCTGATTTGATTGTTCAGAGCCTAGGCTCTATACAAACCGCACCCTTTTGTTTTTTGGCCCAGTGACAGAACTCATATCGTCTTCTTACAAGATCTCTGAAAAAAATTGTCTTACGAGAAATTGTTTCTTTTGAAATTAGTCAGGAATGCGATAAACCTTGATGGTTATGAGCCTCCACTGGAGCTTCTACGAATACTTCCTGAAAAGTCGACAATAAGAGGACCAGATGTTGGTCCCCAGATTGGACCAAATAATGCAAAGTTTGCACTGGTATGCTTGGAATTTAGTTGGAAAGTCAAAATGCTATTATAGTCTATAATTCTAATGCTTTGGTTTTTATAGATATAATTGACAAGTCTATATATTGTCTGCACTAACAAATTTTTACTCATAGGGCATGCAAGCATTATTGGATCTGATTTTTGCTGTTGATGGCTCTATCTCAGATGCGGCTAAATATCTTGGGTACCACTTAATTGTGTGCTGAAATTGCTCTTATTTAACACTATGCTAGTTGCCTACATTGATATGTTTTTCTGTGCTATTGTATGTAAAATTGTTCTTTAAAGACTTGATGTTATTTCACTAGGAATTACACCACCATCTTCCTATCCTGCTATGTAGTGATCTCCCACCCAGGATCTCTGTCTTGCAACTCATGGTTTAATCTGTATTGTGGCGAGTTGAATGAAATGTGCGTATACCCCAGAACCACAGCTATGTATTTTGAGATCAGAATATCTTATGAACCACAGCTTAACGAAGGCAAAACTTCCCCACATCATGAGAATAATGTTCCCTAGTGTCTGGATCATGGTCTTGCCTAGATATAATACATGGTAAAGATGTGTTAAACTGCTGGATCATGAGCACCGGTTTGGATGCATTTAGATGGCCACCAGATTTAAAGAATTTAAAAAAGATCCCCTGGCTTTGAATTCCTGAAAAAATTGCCAAAATCTGCCTATGGGTTTTCAAGACTCTCTCTCTCACACATACACACACACCCACCCCTACAGACACACACACCCCTACCTAAATGTTGCGTAGTAATTTCGGATTTCCTGTCTCATAACAGAAGAATTATAAAAATAGGTACTTACTTTAAGTTGCTGAAAAAATTGCCAAAACCTGCCCATGAGTTTTCAAGACTCTCTCCCTGACACACACGCACACACCCAGACACCCACCTAACTGTGAAAGAATGTCGGATTCCCTGCCCCGTACCTGAAGAGAGAGAGAGAGGGAGGGGACAGAGGTGGTTATAGGGTTGGGGTGTAACTCAGGGTAGTTACTTTTTAATTAGCCAAGGTTGGGTTTCACTCCCACATGGATAATGAATGCCTTATAATTCTTGATGTTCATGTGTGTATTTTATTTGCCTATTTCGTTGTATCTGTCTAAATGACATGTTACAAGTCTGTATGAACTTAACTTGGTTTTGTTGCTAAACTTATGCAGATTAAGCACTGGCGCTCTATCACGGCTGATACTGTCGGATGATTCCCTTAGAGCGGCAGTCAATGAACTACGAACATCTAAGGTAATATTTCTATCTTTGATTCTGGGGTTTATTTTTAAACATGTAAAACTAAGTTCCATGCATTATGGATTCATGACCAAGATATTTATTTATTTGTGTAAAATATACATTAAAAATTGGAAAGATTTGTATGCAGGTTTATTTTTAAACATGTACTAAAACTAAGTTCCATGCATTATGGATCCATGACCAAGATATTTATATATTTGTGTAAAATATACAAATAAAAATTGGAAAGATTTGTGTGCGGATGTGTCTATGCATGTATCGATGTAATGTGGATTTATTTGTTCATGTAAGTATGTGTTTTTGTTTATGACTTTCTATTGTGACATGTCTATCTATACTATCTTTTGTATAGGAAATCTATAGGGCTGCAGCCCTACTGAAATAAGTTGGGCTGCAGCCCTACTAAAATAAGTTGGGCTGCAGCCTCCTACACGGTCAATTAATTTGAACGGTGTGGATCTTTTAGCATTGGTTTATGAGTATAACCGGGAAATGGGAGGCGCTGGTTGCCCTTCCCATTCATTTTTATTTTCCTTCTAACTTTTTTCCATGGCCTGTATCTCTTCTCCCCCTTATGCAGAAAAGTTAACTATCTTCTAGTAGCACTTTCCCTCTCTCTTTTATCTCGTGGCCAGAAAATCACCTCACGACCCTTTCCAGCATCTAGAAGTGTATATAGTAGCTTGATTTTCTCTGGCATCCCTTCTCAGAGAAACAACTTCTTTAAAAAAACGCAATTCTCTGAACCCCATTTTCTCTCTCTTCCCCTAACTAAATACTCAGAACCCAATCCACTTTCTCTATCAGCCCACTTCTCTATCTACTCCAAAAACTTGGGGTCCTTTAAGAGGGTTGACGATCAATCCTTAGAACAATACAAGGAAGAAATTTGGAATTGAAAGAACCAAACAAATTCAGGAGCACTGAAAATCTAAGAGGCACCAACAAAAATGTCAAACTCTATTTGATAAATATAAGTTCATGGACCCCACAAATTCTTGGGATCTCCTGTGCGATTGCCAAGATTAAAGAACCTGCATTCTTGAACTTATCCTGCATAAAATTTATAAAGATCCTTCAAAAACCAGAAGATTCAAATTAATTTGCCCCTAATTCATGGGTTTTCTTGTTTGTCTCTCTCTGCATACTTCTATGTCCCTCCTCTTCCCATGTACCTGTTTTGGTGCCAAACAATTGTGATTCCTCGCTCTTACCTACTGCTACAGCCACAAAAGATTCATCCTTTCCTTCTTTAAAACCCACCTTTTAATTTTCTCTCTCTAGGTTTCTTGCATGTGCTATCAGCGTGCAGCAAATCATATAAACTCTGTTGCAATGGATGAAAAGTAGAATCCCTTATATTGGGGTTACAGAAGTAGAAGCCAGGAGCATTTTGTGATGGGTCACAGGAAGACGAAGAAATCACTTGAATTAGGGCTAATATTGTTGAGAGAGAAACTTGAGTGTGACGATGGACAGGAATTTACAAAGTGAGGATGTAGAGCGAGAGTGAACAGGGAGTTAAATGGGTGGGAGGGAGATCGGGTGATACAGAGACAAAGTGGATGTGAAATAGCCCAAGGAATCTGAGACCATAGAAAAGTTAGAGAGAGAGTTAGAAAAGACAAAGGCAACCAAGGTACCAGGAGGCCAGTACTACAAATTTTCTTTATTGGGAAGTGAGCAAAATCTGTACCATCAAAATAGATGAACGGAGCAGAAAGCTACAGCCCAATGTCAACAAATAAAACTGCATCCCTATAGAAACCGCATCCTTTGTATATGTGTGCATATTGGGTATATAATATGCCTGTATTTGTCAACCCCGTTAGCATGTCAAAAAACAAAAAAACAAAACTCTGTGCTTGCATTCCTGTTTGGTGTTCATTATGTGTATGAATATATGCATAGCTACATCCCTTGAGGTTATCCCGCCCTAGGAAGAACTGGGAGAAAGAATAAATATAGTGATAGTTTCTTTGTTGTCAGAAATAGAAGAAGTTGGGTGAAATATGGGGATTGAACACATGCATGGTGGACTCACAATCTACTGCCATACAATATATTTGTTCAGATATGAGTATGCATATCGTATTAGAAGTTTATTATATATGTGCATTAAAATGTTTGGGTGTTTTCTATCTATGCATTCGCTTGTGCGCTTGAGTGCTTGTAACTGTTTGTTTGATTATATTTTTATTTTATATAAGTTTTTATGTCTATGATTATTTCTTTATGCTGGTCTCTATGATTGTATACTGTGTAAAGTGACAAAGAAAACCCAGTTAAGAAACAAAATATACCAAGGGATGTTGATAGAGAGATTTGTTTTTGCATGTATGACATGTTTACATGTGTATGTATAATTGATTGTGTATGTGACCACTTAGAGTTGCACGTATTTAGCCTACTTATAATTTGTCCTGTTTTTATTATTAGTTTCAGGTGAACTTGTTTATTCTGGTATAAGTCCCTTTTTTTGGGAGGGTGGATGGTTTGTGTATCTGCTGGTGCACACTGGCTTCGCTCGACTCTTATTGTCTGCTTACATAGGAATGACCAACAATTACCATATTTCTTGAGCAGCTTCCTAGAGTAGTAAGGACTTCCCTCTTTCTGTCTTGTGGATAGGCCATATGCTAGAGCATTTTATTTTTGGTTAGAAAGCATGACACTCTTTTTCTTAACATAGTTTTGTTCCCTAAGTTTTTTTTGCCTTATGCAACTGTCATCCAAGGTCTTGATCATAGCAGCCATACTAAAGTCCGATAATTTCTGTATCTATTAGTTAATACATATATGTGTGCATGTGTGTTTGTGTTGGTGTATGTTCCCAAAAGTTGACTGGCTTTAATCATGTCTGTTAAAGCCCTCAATTGCCTTTCCTTGCGCAAGATTTAAGAATTGTGTCCAACCATAACAACCAAATTGAGGCCAACATGGTGGCTCGCCATAGGAACAATCCAATGGCAGGTAGTGGTGGACAGAAATATCCTGAAAATAGATGTTGGACATTTTGGGCCACACCCAGACCCCTTCAAAATCTCCTAGGATAAAAGCTCAGATCTGGACAGCAACTGGTCACTGGGTAAAAAGAGTTTCCTTTGATCACTATACATAACAAAGGAACATACATAAACACATCTCCACCCAAAAACTTATATATAATAATACAGTTATAAATGTCTGTGTGTGTTCGTCTTTATGTTTGGTAGATGGGGCAGGGATGAGATAGGAAGCATTCAATTGTCTTATGTAGGTAAGAGAGGAAAACAGTATTATATATTGCAGTGCTGGTGTTTTTGTTTGTCTTGATGCTATCCATATCAGTATTGGTATTCTCTTTTTTCTTTTTTTTGAAAGTGTTAACCTTTAATAAAATAGTAAATCAGTATAAAAGACCTTGGCAATCCACAGTAAAGGTTGGATGCTCAAGGGAAGAGAGGCCCAAAAGTGGAATCAAAATTCTCTTTTAAGAGGTTAAAGTGAGACACAACCACCTAGAAAAACAGGTTTATCCACCAAATTGGGTCCAAAAAATAGAAGGCAATAACTAAAAAGCCCAAACAAGTTATAGTCGTCTACCATTGCTGCTGCTTCTTTGGCAAGGGAGTCAGCTGCTTGGTTTCCTTCCCTCCATGTATACATCCACACGACGGACATATTCCTGCAAAGGTATTCAATTTCATCAAACAAGTGGTTCAGATGCCAAGGGGAAGGGGAGGAGGGAAGATTCTGCGCCCAAGAAATTGTGTTCTTGGAGTCTCCCTCGATGAGGAGGGAATGGAATGTAAGTGGAAGGGTTAGTCTGAGGGCTTCTAAGAGTGCCATCACTTCGGCCTCCATGGAATTAGCGTGGCCAATGTGTTTGGAGATAGTTGCCACAGTAGCACCGAGGTGGTCTCTGAGGTTGGCTCCAATGCCTGAAGGACCAGGGTTATCGAGAGAGCACCTTCAAAGTTGAGCTTATGCTTCCCCACTGGTGGAGGTTTCCATCTTGATGCTCGCGGCAATCGCAAGCGATGGAATTGAAGGACGCTGCTCCAATCCTGGTTAAAGGTTGAGGAGGGAACACCGTTGAAGAATTGGTGGTTGGTTGCCCAAAAAATGATTGTGGACTTAAGTTTGTTGAAGACTTTGAGCCAATTTGAGGATGCCCCTCGGAAAATTATGTTGTTCCTCTCGATCCAAAGTGCCCACAAAGCAGCAGCCACCATCGTTTTCCAAAGAAGGATCCCTTCTTTATGTCAAGGGAAAGGTTGGACGGAAGATATGATGGAGGTCACATCTGCCAGTAGCACCCGTTGCACATTGAACAGTCTGAGGATAGCTCCCCAGAGATTGAAGGCATAGGGGCAGTGCAGTAGGAGGTGGTTGTTTGTCTCTTCTTTCAAGAGGCACATGACACACCTATTTGGAATCGGGATCCCTCGTCTTTGTAGCTGATCTACTGTTAGAGCTGTCTGTGAGAGAGCCAGCCACATGAAAATCTTGATTTTTGGTGGTACAGAAGATTTCCAAGAAAGAGGAAACCAAGAAGTCCCCTGATGTTGAAGGACACCAAATGATCTGATCAGGCCCCGATGGTGCTATGAAAAGGGCCTGGAGTTCTACCGCTAGAGTACTGGTATTGTTTCTAGACCAAATTGATCATTTCCATATCAAAGTATTTCCTATCTATATTTTTCTACATATCAACCCCGTACAGAAAGTAGTCGATAGTTCTACCTCCTGGTAAATAAAATTTATAAATGGTGTGAGTATATAGATTCTTCTTGCAATAGGGAACAGGCTTCCGAGTATTTTCTTGAGTAGAAAATCTCTGACTACACTTTGTCACTGGTTTCCTGTCTTACTCTTGTGCCTCTGCGTTTTGGTCATTGCAGGGTTTGAAGCCTCTCAAGTGAAACTCATTTGTAGAGAGCATTGGAATAAGTAGCATTCAAAGCCTTCAAAAGTAGCATTCAAATCCTTCAAACATATCATTCTAAACTCAATTTATTTATTGTGAAATGTGTTACTTGGACATACCTTTAGAAGGTTTCACTGGCCTATTTTATGATCATTTGATTGTTGTGAAATCTACTAGTCAAACAAGGAATAAGTTTGTATCATTGTTAGAAAAACAGGGTGATCTAACCGCTAACAGTCCAATTAGATCAGAACCGGCCAATGGCCGGTTCCAATTTTGGTGATCAACCGATATTTAAAAACAAATTCTAAAAAATATATATCAATTCTCAAAAATAAAGAATTTGGTACGTAATGCATTTTTTAATATTCTTCCCATTATGGTAAGGATTAAAATTTGTTTTTGTCATTAATACTCACTTTCATTCAAAAATCGATTAATTAAAATTTATTTTTTTCATTAATTTTCAAGTTCATTTGAATATGTTTTGTTTTAATCATTCATTGTATGCTTTTTGTATTTTAGTGGATTTTTTTTGTATCTGTTTTTATTTTTTAACACTTTTTTTGACTGCCTAAAACTTGCCAGTTAGAACGGTTAAATCGGCTGGTTTACCGGTTAGGCCAGTTAAACCACTTCCGGACCCATGTCCGGTTAACCGTTCTGGTTCGATTTTGTAACCACTGGTTTGTACAAAGTCGCAACCTTCATATAGAATTAAGGTAGTGCCGCTCATTAATTCATTGAAAATGTTTTTTTGATGTTGAAAAACCCTCATCTCTATGTATGAATATGTGAAAAAAATAAAAATTTTGAGTTTTAAAAATAGTGCATCTTGCAACAAATTATCTAAACTATCCATTTTCAAAGGTTTTCATATATTTATATATATTTGATTTGACCCATTTTTGTAGTTTAAAAAATCATAATTAGAGATGAAATGGATTAGATGGTCATCCTAACTATTTTTAACACCAAAGTTATATCTTATGGATAAAATTTAGGGATGCATCTTATTTAGATCGTTTAAAGTTCCAACCTTATACAAGCCCCACCCATAAAAGATTGAAAATCCACCCCATTACATGAAAGTTTTATGTTTTTGTGTTTTGTTTGATCAAAGGTCGCTTAGATTGATTGATATAGCAGTAGGGTTTTTTTCGCCCTTCGAGATTCATAAACAGTTCCTCTCTCTCTCTCTCTCTCTCTCTCTCTCTCTCTCTCTCTCTCAGCACCACTTATTGATGCGTAAGCAGTTCCTACTCTCTCTATCTCTCTCTCTCTCTCTCTCTCTCTCTCTCAGCACCATTATTGATGCGTAAGCAGTTCCACTCTCTCTCTCTCTCTCTCTCTCTCCTTCCCGGCATAAGTACCAAAAAAGAATTGCCTCAAAAGTTAAAAGTTCAGAGCAGTAGGCTGCATCCAAATCTCAAATTGTTAAGCCTCTATTGGAACAAAGGAATCAGGAGACGTTTAGCACAATAACACTGCATTCTAAAAGTAAAAAATTAACAAATAATGTGGTCTGAAGAAACAAACAGACATCTAAAATCATACCTGCAGGAAGCATATAAAAAACACATGAGGATGCATTAAAAATAAAAAATAGCAAAGACGAGGGAATAAAAGAGTTTCAATGTGTTCTTCCAGGTATCCGACTTAGATGGACTCTACAGTCCTCCGGGTACTCACCACCCTCTATGTTCACACCCTCAGAATTGAGGGTTTCATGTTTTCGGTAAGAAGGAACCCCTTCATCTAGACTACTCTCATCTACATTACACGCTCTCACTTCCCCTTCTTTTTGAACAACTTTGTTAGAGTCAGAATCACTTTCCTCACCATTTACTGGATTATTTAGAGAATGGCACCCAACTTTGGTGAGAGAATGGTACCCGTTGTCTCCTTCCCCGCCTGCAAGTTTAGTGATAGACACACACCCTTCACTATGCCCACCAAGTTCAAGTTTGGTGATAGAATTATGCCCTTCAAAGGTGAAAACATCACCCTGTGAAGGACCATCTAAACTAACAAGAGAAGTGTGACTATTGCACCCTTCAAAGGGAGTTCTCGAGCCTTCGTCGAGTATTGCAGGCTGAGCATTGACTGTGAACACTTCAGTGTCATAAATGAGACTAACTTCTGGCTTTTCAATCGACCCTCTCAAACAGTGGCTCCTCTGCATTTTATTATCAGAGGGATTTTGCTTCTGCAATTCCTGCCCCGTGCCATGCATGATACATTGGTTCCCCTTCTTATTGCCTGACTGATTATTGTCTATTTGTAGTCTTCTCTCATGACTCTCGTAAGAAATAGCAGAAATCTTTGCCTTTGTTTTTTCTGCCTGCTTTGAATAAAGTGCCATTGCTCTCTGAAAGCAGAAATGAAAAATTTCACAATTATAACATCTGTTTCTATCTATTCCTTATTCTAATAAAAGGAAACAAAATGGTTCCAATTCAACTCATGGAATGACGATTATAAGACGAGCTCACCTGAAATATATCATCTGACATTTGACGTAAGAATGGTTGCTTCAGATGATGGATGTAGCTCTCTGTTCTGGGCTTTGGAGTCACCTGATATTCAGAGAGGAATGACATGTGAACTCAAGATCTATGTAGAAACAGCAAGCAATAGATTATCAAACAGGATATATCAGTTTGGATAGTTGGATGTCAAAACTGGGCATTATTCACATAACGAAATTTGGATTCTTTCCTTTTGTTGGTGAGCTGGGTTCAAAGGCAACCTCAAGGTGGTTAAGCTAGGTTGGCATTACGGAATCTCTCAGATTTGAACTTTCTAGATTTGGGAGAAAAAAACTATTTGGTATGTACTTGCAAAATTCTAACAAAGCATCATCCCCAAGAAAATAAATATGTTAAATGGATGCAGAATAAAAAACGAATCCCATATATGGACAAATCCCCAAAGGCTTTCATCATCTCCCAGCAAATTTAACTTCAAAATATGCAAAATAATTTCTTAAAAAACTCGACATCCCATAATTTTTGGCAGGGAAAAAACTTTTTCCCACTCCTGAAATGTCTCAAGAGTAGTAGTTAAGTTTCAGACAAGAAATCGCTTTTACAATTCAATGTCTACCAAGAGTCCTATAAATTATGCTATATCATTTATAGCATTTCAGAGAAAAGTTGCCCAGGTACAGTTAAAAATCACCACTGTCCATCATCAGGAACATACAGTGGATGCCGCAGCAGTGTTCAATACACCATGCACTGGTGCAGGGCATTTTTTATGGTTCAAATGATTACATTTTCTTTTCTTCTCTTTTCTGTAATTAAATTTTACATACCTTTAGATCGCCAACTGAAGTCCCTAAGGATAGGCACTCAGCGTCTGCAGAATGCACAGCATCGATGCCACCTAATGAACTCAACAAACTTGCACACTCTCTGTAGAGCTCCAAGCCTGCAAGATCTACAGAAATATCCAGCTTCGAAAGGTAAAAGCAAGTTTTATCGCAGGATAATTTCTTTGAATCAGGCAGCACGCGCTGATCTTCTCTGTGAGGTGCTTCCTCCACAGGCTTTGTCGGCACAACTTCAGATCGCTTAACCTCAATGCTCTCAGCCGTAGACCTTTCGGGACGAGAACGCTTCTCTTGGCGCCCGCAGTTGGTAGGCTGTGCAGGGCACGCATCAAAAGGGGAGGAATTACCAGGGAAACCTAAGCCTAAATTAACACCCTCACTTTGTCCATTCCAAATTTCCCCACTCATATCCCATGCCTGATTCATCAAGTGCCTCTTCTGATCCCAAGACTTATCTACCCCGTCCCATGAATTTAGTTGGGTTTGGACCAAAGGCAAGCAACTATCATCCTGTGGCATCTGCCAACCAAAATTACCAGGAAACCCATCCGGTCTCATCCCAAAAAGTGGTGGCATTGGCTGCATAACAGGGTGAAAAATAGGTGGGACTTGATGCTGGAAAGGCATAAATCCACTGTGCATCACCAAGCCCTGACTCTGAGCATTCCAACTCTGCATAACCCCCTTCCAACCATTGGTTTGAAATCGCCCGCCACCTAAATCACCCCTCTTATTACGAAAAATGTGTTTCTTCTCCTCCAAAAAGCCACTTGATGAGCCCAAGGCCATGAATGAATCGTTTCCTTGCCTATTGGGGGGAGGTGAAAGAAGAATACTTGAGGATTGAACCAACAGAGGAGGGTTATGCAACCTCACCGAACTCTCTGGAGACCTGTTGGACTGGAGTGTGGTCCTTTCTGGCTCATCAAGATCCGGACCCTTGAGCTTCTCCCTTATAGATGGTGAACCCAGAATTACTGCAGGCTTGACATAGCCATTCATTTCAGAAGTACCATCCTGAGATTTGGTATCCATCCTCTCAAAATTGATCTGACTCATTGCTGGTGACCCCTTTATGGGTGAAGCTGGTGTGTTTGATTTTGATGATGTACATGGGCTCATAACTAAGGCACCCCGAGCTTCATGCAAGTATATTGCAGAATTATTCGACAATTCATTTCTCTCATGGGGCTTATCATTTTTGGCTCGAGAATCACATTCCCCAGTAGGACTTTCAGAGACATATGGATTTCCTTTGGAGCTTGAAACTCTACTGGCTGGCTCAATCCTTTCTGCAGAGAAGCCTTCATGTGATGGCTCTACTTGCATCGGTTTAAGCCTGGAATCAATTGCACATGGTTAAAATAGCAGCCACCACATAATCTAGCTAGAAATTATGGAACATGGAAAGAATACAAAGGCGAAGGCGAAAGGGAAGAACTGTAAGCCACTAGTAACCAATCCTTGAACAAGTTACCTTGTTTCAACTCAAAGACAATTGCATGAATAAACTATGTTTACAATTTATCTTACACTCAGCAAATTCAGAAATCACACTTTGTTCGCAACAATATTTCTCCAATAGGAGTTTTACTTATAGAAGGAATACACATGAAGCACCTAAAACAATGCATGGGACAAGCTCCACATGTATAGGGTCTGGGGTTAGGTACCTGTGTGGAAGCTCCCATTAAATGCTCAATTTTTTCTTTATTAACAAGATGCATTCTGGATCATAAAAATTATTTGTCAGTAAGCCTTACCACTGTTATCAGACAAGGGAGCGATTGGGGGTCCAATGTGGGATGCAGATCAAAGTGGCTCCCCTAGGAGGGCGCATCAGCGAAGCGGTCTATAAACTTTAAAATATACAAAATTTATAACATAGAAGAATGCATAGAAAAACACAAATGTGTAATTCATATGATATTAGAAGTTTTATTTCATGTAATTTTGTTTCAACGTATTCACTATTGTATTGTATTAAGATGAAGAGTAAGATGTACAAATTGCCAAAAAATGGGCTTCCCACAACAACGGAAGCTCTATACAAAGACCACGGAGAAGGTGGCGTATGCCAAAAAATGATATACAACAAAAGGCAGCCTAGTGACTGGAAAGCCAGAAACCCAAAAAACGACAACAGGCAGAGAGCGACTAGTCTCCTGTTATTGCTGCTGCTCCTCTAGCAAGGGTGTCTGCAACATGGTTCGCCTCCCGCCAAATATGTGTCCATGAAACCAGAATAGACATGAAAATGTCAAAGACCTCGTCAAAGACATGGGCTAGTCTCCACAGAGGTGTTGCCACCCCCAAGGCCCAAAGAATAACAATTCTAGATTCTCCTTCCATTATGAGATGGGTGCTCCAGAGAGTGTTGAAGAGTTTGAGGCCTTCAAGGAGAGCAAGAGCTTCAGCTGTGGTGGAGTCGGGTCAACCAATGGATTTGGTGAAAGAGGAAAGGGAGGTGCCTAAATGATCCCTGAAAATGCCTCTGATACCGGCAGGACCAAGGTTGCTGAGTGAGAAGCCATTGAAGTTAAGCTTAGTCTTGCCTTGATCTTGGGGCCTCCAAAGGGACGATCGAGGGATGTCAAGGGGCCTTCGGGAGAGGAGGTTCTGCCAATTGAGGTGGAAGGCAGAGGTAGGGAGATGCTTGAAGAGCTTGTGATTAGAGGCCCAAAAGATGACCTTGGCTCTGATGCTGTCCCTGAGGGAGTGGATAGGAGTGAAGTGACCTTGGAAGATGCAGTTATTGCGCTTGATCCATATGGTCCACAGGGTGGCTATTATGGAGGCCTTCCACAGTGGGATGCCCGAAGAGGCCCATAGGAGGAACTTCACCATCTCGAACAGTTGGGACACTGACCACGAGGTACCCCAAGACCAGTTGAAGAGGAGAAGGGTATTCTTCCAAAGCATGTAGGCAATACTACATTGGATGAAAAGGTGAGGATTGGATTCCTCATCCTCCATGCACATGATGCAGAGGTTTGGGGTAATCATACCCCTTCAGCAAAGCTCATGAACAATCAATGCTCTTTCGGAGAGTGCGATCCAGTAGAAAAATTGGATTTTAGGGGGAATAAAGGGCTGCCAGGGCTTGGCGACAATAGAGTGCGAAGGGGTAAACAGGGGTAGAGGAGGATTGAAGTTTACAGTAAAAGGAGGCAACTGAGGAGGAGCCGACTGAGGTGAGAGACCAGATGATTTTGTCTAGTCCATGGGAAGAGAGGTAGACAGAATGTAAGGGTGCTTGGGCTTGAAGGAAAGCAAGGGTCTCTCCTTCATGGAGATTTCTACGGAAATTTGGGTTCCATGAACGGGAGGCTCCAATAGGTTGGAAGGAGTCAGCAACCAAGATGTTGGGGTCTCTAGAAAGATAGAAAAGGGTTGGGAAAAGCTCTCTCAGGGGTGTACAGCCGATCCAGAGGTCGGACTAGAACCTTATCGTGTTTCCCACTCTAGCATGGAAGCAGATATTAACTTTGAAAAGAAAGAGGTAGTGTAGAAAGGACCTCCAAGATCCAGAGCAGGAATTGTAGAAAGAAGAAAGGGGTAGCCAGGGGGACCTTTGGAGCCGGTATTTGTACCCCAGTACGGTTGGCCACAGGTGGCCATCCTGGGTTGCTAAGCGCCACCACCATTTCCACAATAGGCCCAGATTGTTGAGTTTGAGGGAGTGAATACCCAAGCCCCCCTGAGACTTAGGCTTGCAAACTGTGGTCCATGAAATGAGGTGGTATTTCTTGGTTGTACTATAGCCCGACCACAAGAAGTTGCGCATGAGTCTTTCGAACCGAGAGGAGACATCAGCGGGCATGTGGAAGAGGGACATCTAGAATATAGGTACGTTTAAAAGGGTGGTCTTGATGAGGGTAACTCTACCTGTTGGGGATAAGAATCTGCCTTTCCAAGTGGCAAGCTTGTGGTCAAATTTGTCAATGATGTGCCCCCATTGCCTGAGTTTAGGTTTGCCAAGGCAAAGAGGGAGACCCAGGTAGGTGGATGAAAGATGGTCCACTGCACATCCCTATCTGTCAGCGAAAACTTGAGTAGCCGAAGGCTCCATGGCAATGCCGATCATCTTGGATTTGGCCATGTTCAATCTAAATCCAGTGGCCAACTCAAAACACTTCAGAAAGAGAAGTGAATCCACTTGTTGTTCAGATACCGCCGCAAAAGACGGTGTTGTTGACGTATTGAAGATGAGAGATGGCCAAGCCTCCATTGGAGCACGTGAATCCCTCCAAGAGACCGTGTTGATATATTCCGGCCAAACACCTGCTGAAGACCTTTGTGACTATGGCAAAGAGGAATGAAGACAAGGGGTCCCCTTGTCTAAGACCCCTTGATAAGGGGAAGAAGCCCTTGGGTGTGCCATTGATAGGGCCCGAGAACACTGGGTTAGAAAAACAGCCTTGGTTCCACTTGCGCCAATGGGCCCCGACGCCATCCAGAGAAGAGTTTCATCTAGGACCGCCCAATCCACGTGATCGTAAGCTTTTCCCCAATCGAGTTTGATCAGGAGACCAGGATTCTTGGATTGGGTTCTAGAATGAATGCACTTAGAAGTTTCAATTAAGTACTTTGGGCTAATATATTAGCTGTCTGAGTCACCTGGTAGCCTAATAGTCTAAAAAAGAGTAGTTGAGTTTGTTGTCTTACATGTAAAAAACCAAGTAATCCATTCCATCCCATTCATTAATTTAAATAACTAAAATCCAAAATGCCTAATAGTCACTACAATTGACATAACATCCAAAGACAAAAGTACTTCATGATCACAACCACAACCTCACAGCCACAGGTACACAAGTATACTAAATAACTTTCAAACTCCAAAGACCAAAGTTCATAACATGTAAAATAAAAAGACAATGAATACACTCAAGATCAATGAGTCAATATCTCGACTCTTAATCAGATAAGTCAGTGATCATCCATTATTTGTACCTCCCCAAATCATACTGAGGCCAAAGAGTCATCATCATCAGCATTATAACCCTCCTCCACCTGCACTTCTTCCTCCTTGGTCTCATGCGAGTCAGCCTCCTCCTCGATCTCTGGAACCAATGTCAATGTTTACCCAACTCTATTCCATTGTGATCTAGCTAGGCCTTATTTCTTCTCCGGCCCCTATAGCTTGCTCGACATCCAACCAAAGTCCTTACCTCGAATACAAGCTTTTATTGGAGATCTATTATCCACTCGTGTCATTGGGTTCATCTAATACAATTGGGTCAACATCGATGCGTTTAAGATCCCTACCCAATCCACTAACAACATGGACATTGACGAGATCATTGAGGCATCATTTGATTTTCTAGCTAATGGCAATTTGGGCCTATTTGAAAATTTTTCACTACCAATTTGAACACTTTGCAAAACTACTCCAACTCATTTTGTAACCAATCCACCATCACCACCACCTAGCCCGTTATTCCACTACCATCACCACCGCTGCTGCCACCTGAACACCACCACTATGCCACCATGACTACCACCACCACCAACACTGCACTATCACAACACCACTACCACCCACTCACTCCAATCACCACTCCACTACTGCCTAATAGCCACCACCTCCACACCTCCACACCTCCACCCATGCTCAACCACCACGTCCTCTACTCCACTACCACAGCCACCACAACACCACCACCATCATCGCATTGCCACTATCACCACTCTCACTATACCACCACCATCAAACCATTAATATGACAGCTACCATCACACAACAAAATAAAAATTATATATTTTAAATTGTAACAGTCAAACAACCATAGATAGCAAATGGCATTTGACCAATTTGCCATTCAGTAAATTGCAAATTGGAAAAAAAAAAAAAAAAAACCTCTTTTGACAAAATTTTGTAATCAACAGTCCCTCAACATGGGCTTCTTCTTCTTCTCTTCCTCTCTCCCCCCCCCCCCGGCATTTGTCCTCCTGTGGCCCTTCTTCTCCTTCATGTACAGAAATGATTTTTTGACAGCGAATGTTTTTAGACCGTGCTGTCTTGGCTCTAAGCCTTATTTTTTGACAAGCCCCACAGCTTCCCTCTAGCAACTCTCTCTCCCCCTCCCCAAGCACTCTCTCTCTTTTCTCCCTAATGTTGCTATCCTATCACCACCTCCTCCTCCACTTTCTTTCCACTTCTCTTCTATGTCTTTCTTTTCTTTTCTTTTTGCTGTTTTTTTTTTGGTAAATGAAAGCGCAGTCTGTGGGTGGGCTACCATAACACCTCATTTCGAGTGAGCATTTTTGTAACCCCACTATTATAATAATATATTGTCACCTTCTCTTTAAAAAAAAATAGTCCCTTAACTTTTG